AACGCTGGGAGCGCCCTGGGGCAGAGGCTCACCTGTATGCGAGCGGTTGTGGATCTTCAGGTTTTCCAGCCGGGAAAAGCTCTTGTTGCAGGTGGGGCAGCGATGGGGCTTCTCGTTGGTGTGAGTGCGGATGTGAATCAACATCTTGTACCTGCAGGCGGAGAGGGAGGGTCTTTTGGCTCAAGAGCCCCGGAACAGAGGCCACCCGCCCTGGGCAAGGCTGGGGCACAACGGGCCACCCCTTGGCAGCCTGCCCACCCCTCCCCCCAGCGTTTGCGCCTCGACAGCCTCCTCCGAGGTGCTCCGCTGCTTGCCCCAGATGACGGAGGGACAGGAAAGGCCAGCCTCCAAGCAAGGGGCCCGAAGCAAAGTCAGAAGGGTCCGCCTTTGCTTCCCCAGGTTGTCGTCTTAGGGTGGCCGGGGTGAAAGAAAGGCCGCTGGCTGCCGCCCAGCCTGCCCCTCCTGCTCAGAGGTGGGGGGTTTCCAGAAATTTTGAAGCCGCAAAGGGCCTCCTCGGGGATTGCACCGCGCCTTTCAAATTGACTCCCGCCCGCTATTCGTCTGCCCCTTCGCTGGCGACCTTTAAGAGACTTCTGAAAACCTATTTAGACAGACCTTCCAGAATATTCCATCAACAAAACACAGTGTACCTACCAGCTCCTAAATTATTGATCCCACCATCACAAATGCTTTTATTAAATGTTTTTTTGTGCTATATCTTTTTAAATGCAGATGCTGCATTTTTAAAGTTACAATATGTATTATACATTTATCCCTTTATGTTATTTTGATGTTCATGTCAATACAATTCAATGATGTTTATATAGAGTTGTTGATTACTGTTTTGTCGTAAACCACCCATGTGCCCATGTAGTCAGATGGGTAGTATATAAATTAAATAAAGAAAAGAATATTCTATTGGGTGGTGGCGGATTTCAGGGAAAGGCAGACATTTTGGGAAATTTTAAAGTCTATGCCTAATTTATTTTCTTATTAAAATGTTGTCTAAGCAAAAATTAGTAATTTTGTATATGAAATTGTAGTTGGTGCATTTCTGAAGTTTAAAAAAGCAGAAAAGTTGTAACTTTGTACTGGCAAAACTGTGCAAATACCCAGTACGGAGAGAGTGCTACCAACTTCCATTCTCCAAGTGTTGCACTCTACAAATGGGGGGGGGGGGAAACAACTCCTCGGGATCCTGCTGGCGGCCACTCTCCCCAGTTCCAAGATATACCTCGTGAAAGGACTTCAGGCTATGCACTGCCTAGCAAGGGAAGTCTCTAAAAGCACTGGACTTCTTTGGAAAGAGAAAGGAGCCACTCCATCGCCGGAGGGTTTTTCTCAGTTCCTCTCAGACCCCTGCTTGCCGGGGCCTCTAGCCCGCCTGCTGGCCATTTCTGCGGCGAAGGGTCTGGTTACCTGGCATTGAACCCCCTGCCGTGGCGAGCGCAGCCCTCCCAGTGGCAGCAGTAGCCGGCGTCCTTCTCTGGTTTCACATGGAAGTCGTTTACGTGGTCTACAAGGTCTTGCAGGAGATCAAAGAGCTGGTTGCACTGCGCGAAGAGCAAGAGAGGAGCTGGGACTGATGGAGGCAGCTGGGAAGCCACGCAGAGCCTGGGGCTCCCGAGGTGATCTCTCCCCCCCTCG